AGCAGCAGCAGCAGCAGTAGTATAGTGGCAGGAGTAGCAGCAACCCAAAAGATGCAAAACAACAACAAAAAAACTGCCGTCAGATTTGGCCATGCTAGCCTATCAAATTTCCGACGCCTTTGCTTTCTGGGTCCTCGACCGCTGAAACCCCGAAGGTCCAAAAAGCCAAACCAAAGAAATCCTGAACCTCTAACGCCAGTTAGTTCCGGGCAGTTCCGGGGTCCTGAAAGACTTCCCCCAGAGAGCCGCCTTTGCGCGAACCTCCCAAAACTCTGAGAGCAAGTTCCCCCAGTTTTTGGAACTCCAAGCCGAATACGCCTGGGCAAGGCGTATCTGCGTTTGGAGGTTAAGTGGTCCGATGGAAGGATTAGGCTTCGACTTTGGGGGGCTAGGTTGCGCAGCCACTCACAATGACACGTATTGCATTCGAGTTGTGGTCACGGCATCGTCAATTTTTTGTCAGGAGGGCTGTTTTCGGGGTGCTGCTCCATTGTTGTATTATGGATGGCTTGGGGCCGTGGGGCTTCATGGCTTCAATCTAAGTTCTTGTTTCGGCATTGTGGGCTCTGAAGTTGGCTGGTGTGCAGTTCGAGATGTTGCTATGGAATTGGCGGGAGCACTTCCGAATCGATTGCACATGCACACTGGATCAAAAGGCTGACCATAAACCAAACCCTCAACCAGGACCAGGAGGGGCGTTCACCAGAAATTTGTGGATGAAATGGCTGGAATTATGGGCCGAGGAAACATGAAGACAGACAACACTCACGGAGCAGCCCTTGATTCAAACATCTGTATCCTCATGCTATATGTAGATCGAACAAAAATCAAGTAACGAGTCATAAACCCTACATAGCCCGGAAACATGCTTGCGAGCCTTTCAAGGCTTCGTGTTTAGGGCTGAGGGTCTCGTGTCCGGGCGTTCCTTCAGAGTGTAGGGGTTTGGGCTCGCAGTCCAGCGTTGAGGGTAAGTTGAAGCCCTCGGTGTGCGTGAGACACTCAGTCGGCACACGTCTGAGTTGTGAACCGCTAACAAATCATGCTGCTAACGTGGCCGACGCTGCTGACATCTACCTCAAACAACCCGGACACCAAGAACTCTGGACGGAACCTATAGCAAAAATTCGAAACTAAGAAGCCATGCTATTCGGGTCGGGTTTCGGGGCTAAGGTTCTTGGGGTTCAAGCTACAGGGCCTAGCTTCAGGCTCGGATGGTAAAATGGGATCAGTAGGGATAACAGGCGCACACATGATGTAGCGATTCGGAAGCGAAGAGGCGGCCCAAATCCAACATTCCAAGACCTGCAAGGTCTTCCTCTCTGGCTGTAATCTCGGGACCATCTTGTCATATTTCAACGTCGGCTTTCTTTAATCCTGCCATTTAGCGTCCACACTCACAGTGCCGCATGGATTCTGAAACTCCAATGTCGCGTTGCCCTGCAAACAGTGACAAAGGCCGAAAGACCTTTGAGGTGCCTTGCTTCGCCAGGCCTGACGATGAGAGGATTTTTCAATCTCAAGTAGTCCTGGAGAAAATTCCACGAGCACCCCACCCCCCCCACAAGGGATTGAACTAAACATCGGACCGTAAAAAGCCTGCATCCGAGTGCTTGCGCCTGCGCCCTGGCCAGTCAACCCTGGACCCTACCACAAGCTCCTAATCCTAGACTCTACGACCAGAACGCCAAGGAAAACCCGTGACGCCCTACCAAACATTCGGCTCGTTCAGCCTGGGAGCTATCTCATCGCCTCTCTCAGTGCCTCCGAAGCTTCAGAGTAAGGTCTGGGATAGGGTCAACTAGATAGCAGCCACTTGCAAGCGGAATTACCAAGTGCTCCGGGTTCTGACAGTGTCACCTTTGTCAAGCTCCCTCTAGAACCCAGTAAACCCAAATAAGCCTCTAAAATATACAACCCAAAAAGAAGCTCGAATCTTAAGAAGCTCTCGTATGGATGTGACAAATCGGCCTTACCGAGCGACTACTGCGCTCTGTTATGCGACCAGACCTCTAAAGACAAGCTAATACTGGTCTTTCGGGACGATTCTCAATGTCTCGCACTGCGGGAGGCTTCGCTTGGGGCAACAAGAGACCGAGCTTCACGGCATTTCAAGCAGTGGGCTTGATAGTCTGGTTGTTTGCGAATAAGGGACTGGGTTCCTGCAAGGCAGCTGGAACAAGCGCCCAAGATCCAGGAAGCAATTCACAAAGATCGGTGAAACCAAAATTCACTTGCCAAAGACCTGCACCCTAAACCTGCCGCTCTCCTGCATGAACCGAAGGTTTCACACGTCCAAGTGCCACCCTGATGAGCCCAAGGGCTCAGGAGCACCTGCTGTGTTTATTGGGGTTCTATGGGCTGTTTGAACCATACCAGGCTGGAGAAGAGGATGTGTAAGTCGTGGTCAGTATTCAGAACATGGGAACGTCCTGGACTGGAATCCCTTAGCACCAACAGAGCTACATCTCACTGCAGAGGCTAACCCCCAGACCCAAAACCTAAAACCCGTGCAAACACGAACATGCCACGTTCTCAGGTGACCTGCAAGACCGCGATAGTCCGCTGCCTCGAAAAATGTGGCAGCTCGGTTTCGCCACTGGCTGCTGTATCAGGGCTGTTTCCTCGGACCTGCAGTCACAGCGGACGTCGAGGCTTTCGGGGTCAGATTTTCACTCTACCGTTGAGAACTTTGGGATGGGTGGTACGGGTCAGCATGGGTCAGTGTTGAAGACTGTCCTGGAAGTAAAGCCATTGCTGCCATTGCGTCCTCGGCAGTGATGAGCGTCGGTATTTCGTTCTAGGCGACAGACATCAACTGCGCACGAACCAGCAAACTAGCTTGTATTGCCATTGTAGCGACTGACACCGTTAACACTGCTACCGTAGTGACGTCCTTGTTCCGTCTCATCGTCAAGGCATCATCATCATCATCATCATCANNTCATCATCACCAACATCATCATCATCTTCTTCGTCGTCGTTCATAGCCACGGCCATCTTAGTTGGCTCTCATCACAATAACCCTCACCATCCTGATAACTGATGGTCAATAGCTGCACGCGATCGCGACTCCGCATTCTATGCCTATATTATAGGCAAGTGGCAGTAGTCGTCGTCGCAGTAATATCCGTCGCAGTAGTAGTAGTAGTAGTA